ACTATACAAGTACTTGCTAAAGATCATATATCAAAGATATGATACATATAATTAAATCTTGAGTTTACTAATGATTATAAATTGAAATCTATATACTATTTAAATCTAAAATACTCCCATTCGAACCCTCACATTCGCATTTTCCTATTTACCAAATAATTTATTTTTCATTTTTCAAAAATTTCAGGAACGTTTTTTTTTTTATTTTATTTTTTATATGAGACAAAATGATTTAAAACGTATAAACATGAAAGATCTGAAAAGAAGTGTTATAATACAAATATGTTCTTGTATAAAACAATGACGTAGATTACAATGACATAGGTTATAATTTGATCAGAGTAAGTCTTAATGGTCTTATTCTCCATAGTAGTTCTGCCACAATTTGACATTTTCATAACTCGCATATACGTAAATCAAAATTTCACACCGTGTCGACAAATTTCGAGAATTTAAGAAAATATAAATAAATTGAATTCCCACTAGAAATTAAAAACACGTAAATATACTCTATTTTAATTCTTTGACCGTTATTAAAACGATAACAAACATACAGAACTACAACAATGTCCTTTTCAGGTAAAGAAGATCCAAAAACTTTAGTTTTATTTGATGTTGATGGTACTTTAACACCAGCAAGATTAACAATTTCACCAGAAATTAAACAATTATTACAAGATTTAAGAAAAAAAGTTGTTATTGGATTTGTTGGTGGTTCAGATTTACAAAAACAAGTTGAACAATTAGGTTCAACTGTCTTGGAAGATTTTGATTATGCTTTTAGTGAAAATGGGTTAACTGCTTATAAATTAGGTGAAAAATTAGCTTCTCAATCATTTATTAATTGGATTGGTGAAGAAAAATATAATGAATTAGCTAAATTTATTCTTGGTTATTTATCACAAATTGATTTACCAAAAAGAAGAGGTACTTTTATTGAATTTAGAAATGGTATGATTAATGTTTCACCAATTGGTAGAAATGCTTCAACTGAAGAAAGAATTGAATTTGAAAAATTTGATAAAGAACATAAAATTAGAGAAACTTTTGTTAATGCCCTAAAGGAAAAATTCCCAGATGTTGGCTTAACTTATTCAATTGGTGGTCAAATTTCATTTGATGTTTTCCCAACAGGTTGGGATAAGACATATGCTTTACAACATGTTGAATCTGAAGGTTTTGAAAAAATTCATTTCTTTGGTGATAAATCTTATAAAGGTGGTAATGATTATGAAATTTATGAAGATCCAAGAACTATTGGTCATGCTGTTAACAGTCCAGAAGATACTGCTAGAATCTTGAAAGAATTATTCTTTTAAATTATCCTACTAGTAGTAATAATACCCAAACATTACGGTTTCTTAATAGAGTTTTTTCTTTTAGTTCATATATTTAATAAATATAATTTAAGTTAATAATCTAACGTAAGCTAACACTAGGGCAAAAGTACCAGTACAAACCCCAATTAACCATTGCATAACTTGAGTTTTAACTCCATCAATTTGCATCTTCATATTTGCAACCTCTTGATCAATTCTTGTATTTATTTCACTTATATGAGATTCATGTTGTGAACCTTCTTCTCTTATTCTACCTTTTTCCAAATTTAAATCTAATTTAACTCCAGCATTCGCTTTGGTAATTTCTTCTCTTATTCTTGTTCTTAATTTTTCTAAATCATTACGTATACGTTCATTTTCATTTTCAATATTTTGGAACTCTGAACGATCAATAGTTTGTAATTCACCTCTTAATTTAGCAAAATCAACTTTTTGTTGATATGTCATCTTGGACAAAGTTTCTTTAGTCACCAATGTTGAACCAATAGAATTAACACCATCAGCTAAAGCTTGTGATACTATCTTAACAACACCTTCACTTTGTTCCGAAGTAAAACCTTCATTTTGTAATTGAACCATGAACTTTCTGGTATCAAAATGTACAGCTCTGAACGCTCTAGAACTATGGAACTGTCTTATTCCCAAACGAAACATTTTACAACTGGTAAACCCTTGATAAACACCTTGATAATTTTTGGTTTCTTGATCGAATTATGGCCATTTCAATGCTTATTTAAATGACGGGATGACATAATCAAAAGTTCGCGCAAAATTTCTGTTTATATTTTTTTTTTTTTTAATTTTAATTTTATTGTGATGAGATATAAACAATTTTATAGATAATCACTAAATTTGGTCAAAATCATGATGATTCGATTGATTTGGAGGAATAAGAATGTCACCAATCGTTTAGTTCATAGAGGTTTCCATAATGCTCGTTTTTTAAATAATAAAAAACCTGGTTTAACAGAACAAGAATTTGATGATGCTGAATTAATGTCTGATCGATTAAATTCAAAACCATATTATGCTAAAAGATCAAATGAAGATAGATATGAATCACAATCTGAAGTAGATGATAAAGGATTCCAAAAGGAAACTCCATTAACACCAGAACAAATTAAGAAACAAAATGAAAAAATTGAAGGTTTAAAAGGTATAGTACAAGGTTTATTAGTACTTGGTGCAATGTTTGGTGGGTTCCAATTATATCAAAAATATCCAGTTATAAGAAATTGGTGGTATAAACAAGATGGTGATGAATTTGTTATCCCTCAAAAGAAGAAACAAACTTCAGAATTACCAAATTTAAATAATAAAAATGATAGTTCAATTCCTGGTCTTTATATATGGGGGAATAATTTTAAAGGTTTAATAGATTCTCAACCTTTTTCTTCAAATCATAAATTCCCAACAAGACATTCTTGGTTTGATGGGAAATTCCTTAAAGATGTTTTCATTGGTGATGAATCCGCTGTTGCTATCGATTCAAATGGTGATTTAATTCAATGGGGTCAAGGTTTTAATCCTGTTGAAGTTCCATCAAATGTTACTAAAAAAAATTGGAAAGGTTGGAATGAACCTCAATATACTATTAAGGGACAAGGCTTAAAATATGCTAAGATATCAAATGGTGTTGTTTATGCATTAAATAAACATAATGAAATTATTTATTTCCCAGAAAATTTACAAAAACAATTAGAATTTAAAGGTGATTCCAAAAGAAATTGGTTATTGAGATCCAAGGATCAACATTTTACAAAACTCACAGTTGAAAATGGTAAATTTAATAAAGGTGAATTTATCCAGGATTTCCAAACTGGGAAAGTTCATCTTGTTGCTTTAACAAATCAAGGTAGAGCATTCACTTCATCAACTGGATTAACTCAAACAACAAAAGAATCAAAAGAATCAAAAGGTCAATTTGGTTTAATAGAATATTCACATTTTAAATCATCACCTCCTGTAAATAAGTTATATGAAATTTATTTATTAAATAATGAAATTGTTAAAAATTCAAAAGGAAAAATTGATCATATTGAATCAAGAAAAATTCAACAAGTCGCAACGGGGAATTATCATACTATAGCATTAGATTCAAATGGTGAAGTTCATACTTTTGGTGATAATACTTTTGGTCAATTAGGTCATCCAGTTAATTATGATACACAATTCATAACAATCCCTAAAAAAATTTCATTATTTAATAAACATGTTGCAAGAGATTATTATCCTGAATGTATCGAAGTTTATGCAGGTGGTGATACAAGTTTTGTCAAGATTTCACCAATTAAAATGTTTCAAATGGTTAAAAAATCTGGTACTGCAAAAATACAAGAACAATTTGAAGATCTCAAAAATGATGATTTTATTTTAGGATTTGGTAATAATTTAAAAGGACAAATTGGGAATGGTCATTATGTTCATGCACAATTTGAACCTTTCAAGATTAAAGAATTATTAAAATTTAATGAATTTAATGAATCAACAGGAAAATTAGAAAAAATTGGTATAAAAACATGGTCTTCAGGTTATGATCATACTTTTATAAAATTAGAAAATAATGATGTCTTATATTGGGGTGGTAATGATTTTGGTGAATTAGGTAATGGTAAAAAAAATAGAATTTCAAAACCTTCTATACCATCTGCTTTAATTGAACCTGGATTTAATGAAAAAACTTTTAAAGATCCAAATTTTGTTAATAGATTACAATTATCTTCAAATCAAAAAATCATAGCTAGTAGTAATGCTAGTGCTATTTATTATACAAAACCTTAAAAACTTTCATGTACATAGAGATCTATATATATATTTAGCCTAACCATTTATAAATGTAATATAATATTATAAACATTAATATAGCACCACCATAAAATAACCATTTATCTTCAAATGCTCTTTTTTCAATAGTTCTTATTGTCCCTTGAGAAACACCTAATGTTGATAAACTATCTGTTACTTTAGATTGAAACTTTCTAATTAATTCATTTGAAGCAACTAATTCATCAAAAGCTTCCATACCCATCTCCAAAATTTCATCTAATTGTTGATTTCCTCTTGATAATGTTGAATTTTCTTTATATAATCCATCATGATATGATTGTTGTTGTTGTGGTTGTTGTTGTGTACCTTGTTGAGAATCAAATGGATTTGCTGAAGATGAAGAAGTTATAGATGATTGTCCATTATAATGACCTCTTCTATTTAATAATTCAGATCTTGTAGTTTCTTCTAATTGATCATCTCTTGTTTTTTTCAAATTTTGATATTTTGTTCTCAATTCTTGAATATCTTTCTTAAAATTAATCAACCTTATACGAGCTTTTTCTTGTTTTTCTGGTTGTGATTCATTCTTAGCTAAAGATTCATATTCATCTATTGTCTTGGTTAATGTAGATAAATTTGCCACTATTGATCCTTGAAGAGATAAAGGAGCTGTGTTTAATTGAGATTCAAATTGTGAAATGTCTTTACGAAGTGTACTAAATTGTTTGACAGCATGATTATAAACAGAATTCTGAAGCAAATTCTGATGTTAGAAGAAGCATACAAAAGAGAATATAATAATCATACTTACCATCTTCAAACAATGGATTTCCTTTGTGGTTTTATAGACTTGAAGTGGTTGTTATGATGAATGTCTTTGTTGATCTGAGTTGTTCTCAATATAAATTTCATGACAACAAATATAAAAACCGCGATTGTTCTCATCTTTAAATTCGGATATTACATGAGAACTATATTAACCCAAATATCAGAAAAATTACCACTAATCTTTGAAATGTTCCACATTGTTAATCAGGAGGTGTTTCAAAAACAGACATACTACATAAGTTAGTCTGACTACAATTCTATCAAACATAACAACACGTATAGTTAATTACTTATTAGCAATATGATGATCACAAATCTTAATAGTAATCACCAGTTTAAATCAATATACCTTCTAATAGCTTTTAAAATCATATCATAATTCATGTACCTCATAATCACCTTTTATCGTTAATCATCAAAGTCAATTCCAGCATAATCACGCACATTAATACCAATCACCACATGGATCCCAAACTATTTTTCCATTATCATCAAAATACCATCTTTTTGAAGGTTCATACCAAGACGTTTCGTTTTTCAATTTTTCTAAAAGTTCATCTTTAAAAGTTTTAATCAGAAATTTATCTGGTTCTTCTTCATACCAATGTTTTGTCTTATTTTGTAAATTTTGAACATCATCGACCACTCCAATAATTAGCTGTGATTCTTTAGCTTCTAAACCATATTCATAATGAACTTTCAATTTTGAAGGCGCTTTAGCAATGATTTCTTCGGTGTATTTAGTTTCTTCAATACTAAATTTAGTTAATGATGGTAAACTTTCAAGAAAGTTAATTCTTGAAACACATTTCCCAGTTATAATTTCTAATAAGGGACAATTATGAAGTTTTAAAAGATTAAACCCAACACCTGAAAGCTTTATTTCAATTAATTTTGGGGCGGATAAATTCAATGTGATGACATTTGGATCAGCCTCTGGATGATGACTAGTATTCATCTGGGATTTAGCAGACTTATTATGTTTTTCAATTCTTAAACTTTTCAAATTTTTAAATTCACCAGTGATTGAAATTTTACAAAATGGTCTTGATTTAATAAGTAATTTTTCAATTTGATTTGGTAATTTCTCAGCTTGAATTTCAATATCTTCATCAGTATCATACATAAGTACCAATTCTTTTAAATTTTTGAAATGTTCAATAAGTTCACTATCAAATATGTCACCACGTTTATATTTAAGAACTAATTGTTCCAACAATGGTGCTTCAAACATTTTCACCATCGATTTCAAATCTTCAGAAATTATAACTTCAGCTTTTTTCAATTTCTTGAATGTAAAATTTGATAAATCTTTACTATCTAATAAATAGTTAACTTCAATGGCAATGAAAGTCAATTGATCTAATTTTTTTGACTCTATGGCTTTTAATACCGCTAAAATTACATATAATCCTTCTGGAAATTTCTGTTTAATCAAATTCATTTTACCAACCACATCACAGTAGCAATAATCAGTCTCATATACATCATGAAACCTTGGATTACGGCCTGTATAATAATCCATAAGATGTTCTCCTAAAAGGTCTATAACAGGGTTAAATCTACTACCAACTCGAAGTTCCAATAACCTTAATTTAGGAAGCTCAACGTCTTGTTGAATTATTGGTGATTTTTCTTCTGAATCCCACTCAAAATAAATTAATTCAGGAAATTTAACATTTTTAAATTCAAAACGTCTATGATCAAATTCAAGACTCTGTTCAATTTTTAAGAGTTTCAAATGTGGAAATTCACAATCTTGAATAACTCCATGACTAGCCTTAATTTCTAATACTTGTAACTGTGAAAAGTTACAATTTTTCATGCTTAAGTGATATAGTGGGTCATCTTCTGGATAAACCTCATAATCTTCAAGTCTAATAGTTAAAAGCTTGATATTTGTGAATTTATAAAATGAAAAATCAAGAGCCTCAACTTCAATATAAATGAAACATTTTGCAACAATATATTGATCAAAATTAAATATATTAATGATTGGCATGGGTGGTAATGACACGGAATTTATTGTCAAATCACCAATTCTTTCAAACTTGATTTTTTCATCTTGATTTATTATTTTCATATCAAAAATATTCACATTCTGTACTTTTTTGAAATGATAATTTCCAGGACTTCTTATAATATCATTGATACCCCCTAAAGAGAGAACATCCGATATTGTATCAAATAATAAATAATTAAAGTTTTTGGGATTAATAGGATGCATTTCCAATAAATCATTAGTTTCTTCATACATATAGTCTTCAATATCATGTGAATCACCAACAAACACAATAAATTTTGCGAAAACATTTTGATAAGTATGAGAAATAGATCCAGTATAATTCTCTATATATGAAATTTCAAATAGTTTGATCATTTCATGATTTTGTAAAGTTTTATTATCATCCCAATAAATATGTGATTCTGATGGTATATTAAAGAAAAACTTTGTATCATGTGTATCTTTTGTTAAAGTTATGAAGTTCTTGAGCCTGTTTGCAATTGGATGGAATGCATATAAGTTGTTGATATCGTCTGGACTTAAATGTAAGATAACTTTAACCAATAATTCATCTGGTAAACATAATAACGAAGTCATGATGGCGCTTATGATGGCGCTTATTCTATGACGATTGATCCAAAATCTGGGAATTCAATTCTCTTGATGATGATTTTGTGTTCAATTCTGTCTACACCATTTAAAAAGACCCTTTTTAAAGTGTCTGGAAAGCAGCCGCCTAACCAACGTATAGGTTGTTCAGCATTGTTTACCATTAAAATCGGATTTTTGTTTACTTAAAAATATCTCCTTCATTATACCCTTGTTTCCCTAACCGATGCAATGGATTTCCTCGAAATTTTCAATTAATTTATCCAGAAAAAACCATTGAAATTGGAAATTTATTTGAGCAGAAGAAGACTTTAGAAGTCATAAGAGATCATTATTGAATAATATCATGGAAGACGAAGACTTGTGAGTATTCCCTCTGTGTGTTTTTTAGTATCTAGACTTTATACTAACCCATCTTCTCTATAGACAACTTTCGGCTAGTACATTAGCTGCTTTATTAGAATTTAAAAAAGAAGAAGAGCAAAGACAAGAAGAATTTGAAGCTTTAAAAAATGTTGCAGAAGAAAGATTTGAAGAAACTAAATTAACTGAAGTCTTGGAGAAGAAAGGTATGGAATTATTTCAAGAAGATTGGCAATTATCACAATTTTGGGTATGTTAAAAAATAATTTTTTTTTATGTGTCAAACCTATGTCATATGACTAACTGAACCGTTTTTCTTTATAGTATAGTGATGAAACTGCAAATTTAATTGCTGATGAATTATTAGATGGTGCTGATTCTGATACCGTGATCTGTATCGTTAGTGCACCATCAGTTTATGCTGCTATTAAAAAAAGACAACCATCAACATTACCAACTAAAAACATTTATTTATTTGAATATGATACAAGATTTAAAGTTCTTGATCCTGAAAGATTTGGATTTTATGATTATAATAACCCATTGGAATTCTTACCTGAATTGCAAAATAAAGTTCATAGATTATTAATTGATCCACCTTTTTTACAAGATGATTGTCAAACAAAGTCTGCTATAACTGCAAAAGCTTTATTAAATCCAAATAAATCATTGAAAACTAAGACTGGTGAATTACAATATCGTTTAATTTCATGTACTGGTGAAAGAATGAAAGATATCATTCGTAAAAATTATCCAGATACAAGACCAACAACTTTTTATCCTGAACATGCTAATGGATTAAGTAATGAATTTTTTTGTTATGCTTCTTATGAAGGTAAAAATTGGAAATTCTTACCTGATAATTGAAATTAAAGTATATACATATAATCATGTGTAATATAAAACTAATAATATTCAACATCATGTACAAATTTTATTTTAATTATGCAATATGGTATATATTTTTTTTATTTATTCAAAATGTAAAATATGGTTTATAAATATTAACATATTCTTCATCAACATCATTTATTGTATAACCAGTTTTTTCAGCTTTTGGAAATGTGAATGTAAATTCTGAACTTGGGGGTCTTGAATCTTTTGTAATAACATTACCTGGGAATGAAAATGGTGTTAATTGAGAATTTGTTGTGTTTGTTGTGATACTGTTTGTGTTATTTGTGTTATTTGTGTTGTCTATTGTGTTGTCTATTGTGGTGGTATTTGTCATTGGTTTAAATTCAAATGGTTTTGATTGTTCTGGTTTAGTTTCTGATGTTGCTGAACCAAAAGTTGGTATATTTGGCTTAGAAGCAAATGAAAATAATGGTTTACTATTGAATTTTGGTGCTGAATCTTCTTTTGTGAATTTTTCTTGTGATTTATCATCATTTGAAATGGTCTCTTTATCAATTTTTTCATCATCTTTTGTTTCCACATTTGTTTCAACCTTAGTTTCCACTTCAATATCATCAATTGATTGATCAGTTGTATCATTCAATGAGATAGTTTCTCTAAGAGATGAAGATTTACTTGGTTTATATTTTAATTGTGGTTGAGTAATCTTATCCTTTTTAGTTTCAATAGATTCTTTATATTTTTCGAATTCTTGTTCAAATTTTGATGGTTTATTAGCTGATGAGTTTGTTCTTCTTTTATGTGATGAAGAAATTGATGCATATGGATTTGAATAATCAATCTTTTTATCCTTTTTAGGTTGGTTTTGTTGTTCTTCATAATTCTTAGTAATTTCATCATCTTTACCTTCAATAAATGACAAAAGTGCAGATGCTGTATTACTTATTTTCTTCTCTTTCTTATCCCCAGAATCATCATTTAATGAATTTTTTGGTTCAATTGTTGATTCTGATGATAATGTATGTTTTTTATTTTGATGTTCATTATCATCATCATCTAATAAAAATGAAGTATCTTTGAATCTTGTAGTTCTATAAGGTGATGGGAACCCAGAAAAATCAAAAATTCTTTTCTTTCTTTGACTTGTTATAGAATTTATTGAATTATCAAATGTGTTATCTTCACTTATAGATTTATTATAAGTTGCCTTGAAAGATGGAGTTGATTTAACTGAAGATTCAGATTTACTATTTTTCAATATTTGTTCATTTGTATTATTAGCTTCATCTTCTTCTTCTTCTTTTGTATCAATAATTTGACTTTGTTTAAATAAAATTTGCTTTGGTGAATTTGATTTAGCTAATAAAGATTTAACACCTTCTAACTCAATTTCTGATAATGGTTCATTTCCCTTTTTAGCGAAAAATTCAGCTAATCTAGCATTTGGAGAATCTTCAACTTTTTGGTTTTGAAATCTATGAAATTCATCAATTGGATTTTTGGGAGTTTGATGATGAATTGTTGATGGAGGTTTATTAAATTCTGAAAGTACACTGTTATCTGAATCATCATCCATTGTTTGATCTTCTTGTTCAGTAAGCCAGCCGCCTGGTGAAAACATCTTTTTCACTTTACTAAATATACTTCCTGGTGTCTGTTTTTCCAATTTTAGTTAGTTCCTATACTTCAATCATCTTGATATGTGTAATACTCACTTTTGGTTGGATAGTTCTATTGGTAGCAGGACTTCTAAAACTGGCATTTCTGGAATAAGGAGACCTCAAGTGGTCACTGCTCTGTGTATTTCTGAACACCCTGTTGTTGCTCATCTTGTAGTGTCTCTTTTGGGTATCTCAATTGGTATTGCTAGTCCTTTTCTTTCTATCTTTTCTTTGTTGATGTTTTGATTTAAATTAATTTTGTTTTTTTCTGTCAAATTGCAAATCAGGGTAATCCGGGAATTTTAATATTTATAATTATTATTATAATTATATACGAAATCACAATAAAACAATGATTTGATGACAATGAGAGATAATACAAATATCCTAATATCCTCATAAATTCTTTCACAATTCTTTCACTCTGTTACTTTTTTCCCGGTTGTTTTAGTGCCATTTTCCCACAAAAACCGTTGATATTTTAACCATTTCGCGGGTTTTCACCATATAATCAAACGATAAACGAGTACAAACTATTCACAACTTTCCACTTTTTACTTCAGATACTCAGAACTTAATCCACCAACTAATAACTTTTATAATAATGTCATTAGATTCTGTGCTATTGATAGGGGGCTCTGGTTTCCTTGGGCTCCATTTGATCCAACAATTCTATGAACAATCACCAAGACCACAAATTCATGTATTTGATGTACGTCCATTACCAGAAATTTTACCATCAATATTTACATTCAAACAATCAGAAATAAAATTCCATCAAGGTGATTTAACTAGTCCAGATGATGTTAAAAAAGCTATAAGAGAAAGTAAAGCTCCTGTTATAGTTCATTCTGCTTCTCCAATGCATGGTCTTAATCAAGAAATTTATATCAAAGTTAATATTAAAGGTACAGAAAATTTGATCAAATGTGCTAAAGAAGAAGGTGTAAAAGCTGTTGTTTATACTTCAAGTGCTGGTGTTATCTTCAATGGTCAAAATATTCATAATGCTGATGAATCTTGGCCAATCCCAGAAGTCCCAATGGATGGTTATAATGAAACAAAGGCAATTGCAGAAAAATTTGTCCTTGATTCAAATGATTTCCAAGCGAGATTCTTAACGGTTGCACTAAGACCTGCTGGTATTTTCGGTCCTGGTGATCGTCAATTAGTTCCTGGGTTGAGAAGCGTTGCTAAATTAGGACAATCAAAATTCCAAATTGGTGATAATAATAATTTATTTGATTGGACTTATGCTGGGAATGTTGCAGATGCTCATGTTTTAGCAGCTCAAAAATTATTAGATCCAATACAATCAAAAAAAATCGGTGGTGAAAAGTTCTTTATTACAAATGATGCTCCAACTTATTTCTGGACATTAGCAAGAACTGTTTGGAAAGCTGATGGTCATGTGGAAAAATATAACATTGTTTTAAATAGACCAGTTGCTATACTTGCTGGTTATTTATCTCAATTTTTTTCAAAATTATCTGGTAAAGAACCTGGTTTAACTCCATTTAGAGTGAAAGTTGTTTGTGCTTATCGTTATCATAATATTTCAAAAGCTAAAGAAATTTTAGATTATAAACCAAATGTTGATTTAGAGGAAGGTATCAAAAGAACTTTACAATGGATGGATGAAACAGAATAAACAAGAAGGAAATTGATAAAGAACATCTTAAAATTAATAATTTTGCATTCTTAACGTTTAATTAAATATAGAATATGAATATATGCCCAACCCCTCATAAAGTAGAAAGTTAATTAATGATTTGTACCATAAATCTTGAAATTAAAACAACCAAAAAAGACAAATGCAATATGCACACAGCACAATAAATATCTATCACGATCCATAACACCCTTTTATAATTGGCTTCCTTTTTTTGACAGTAACAAAATAATATAAGAAATAGCAAATCCAACGTATCAACACATTATTTCTGTTAATTCCTCAGAAAAAGGATGAAGTAACACCAGCGGTTAATAAAGCAGCAACAAATGGTAAGATATATTGAATAGTTGATGTTTCAATTTGAGCACCAACACTTTCAAAAGGAAATGAAGAATTTGATAAATTTGTAGAATTTAATGAAGTACCATTTAATGAATGATTACCTGGGAAATGATCTTCTAAGTCTTGTTTATGTTCTAAAAAGCTTGTAATTGATGAATTTGTTGAATTTGATTGGTTTTCAAGTGTTGATTGTAAAATGAAATCAGGTTCTTTATCTTCAACTGGAATTCTTGCATTTGGTCTTAAAAATTTGGCAACATGAGAATCATGTTTTTTAAATGGTAAATTACATGCATTAACATCATTCATAGTTTCACAATCATCATATAAAACAGCAAGGAAATTACCTGATGCAGTATTTGGACATAACCCATAACAATCACGTTTCATACTTTGTAATGCACAACATTCACAGGCTAAATCATCTGGTTTACATTCATCTAATTTGGCTAAAACTTCACTTGCACATGTAGTTAATGTATCCAATTCTTCACCTTCACAAATATTCTTTGGATTAGGGTTGACATAAGCACCAAATTCATTACTTTCAGTTGATGAAATCAAATCAGCACCAGAAACTTGCCTCAAAAAAGCACCACCTAATACAATAACGTGTAAGAACAACATCTTGAGTATATCTATTGGCTATAATGTAATTTGATCTTTTCAAAACTCCAGTTCAGTCAAACAGCCGACGTGGTAAACAATGAATGAATTTTCATAAAAAGCCATTTTAGTCCCTTTTTGTAATTTTCCCTTTTGTACACAATAATTTTTAAATCATTGTGAAAACGTTAAAAAAATGTTTTTTGATTTATTTTGACACAAAACCAAAAAAAAAATCGGAATTTTAAATTTTTCCGGATTTTTTCGACCTGGTGAACATAAATCCGAAATATTAGTTTTTTTGATTATCAGTGTCACAAATAACACAAGTTAATTCTTTCCCAACACCAAGATTCTTCAAACAATTCATGTGAAATTGATGGCGGCAACTAAAGCTCACCAAGTAATATGGATCGACTTCCTCCTTTTGTGGATTTTGTGGATCTTCACGCTGTTTATCTTCCCATTTACAATAAGCATCTGATTCAATACCTCTACCCCAAATAGTTTTGCCACAAGCGTCACATTCATAATGTAGAACAGACCAGCCTTTAAGGTTCTTATCATTCAATTTTTCCATATTTTTGAATATTCCTTCGTTAATTAATTGTGCTGTGATTTCTAATGCATTCTTTTCATAAGAAAATGCTAAATAAATTTCATTGGTAACTGATCTAACATCACCTAATAATGTAACTTTAGTTGAAGATGATTCTAAAAATTTAGCATAAATTTTCAAGAATGAGCTTTGATGCTCATTTATACCTTCTTCATTAACTTTGAAACTATTGATCTTAGCTCTTGTATTGATTAAATTTGAAAATAAATCTTGTACTAATCTTTTCATAATATCAAGTACTTTAGTTGATGTTTCATCTTTATCAAAAAATTTGAAAAGATTTACTGTGAATTTAATAAGATTCAACCACAGGTTTTCATTTAGTGATAATGAATCACTGTTTTTAGTTTGTGTTGTGCTACCTTCATGATTTGATAATGAAATACCCCAGAACAAAAGACCCCAAATTTGTTCTTCTAAATGCTTTAAATCATCCTTGTTACTTTTGTTATTAGCATCTGGTAATCTATGAACCAATATCTCCATTTGATTTAAAACTTCATTCAAAGCATCCTCATAGCGGTCTTGTTTAGTAAACAGATCAATTAACGTTTCAATAGCTCCTGAAGATCTTAAGGATTCTAAAGCCAGATCAAAATTATAATCAGATGGACTCAAAGATTTGATATACTTATCCAATTCTCTTTTATCAAATTTGGCAAGTGTATCTATATATTGATCTCTTTCCTCTAACTTCATTTTATACAACCCGCTTGATTCTAAATCAGATAATGATGATAAATAAAGGTGTTTCAAATGTAAATCCTCTAATTTCAAAACAGTTTGATGACTTTTAGGTGAATAATGATTCAAAATTCTTGCAACTTTCGACGTATTGTATTCAACCAATTTAGCAAAATTATTGAAAACAACTTGTTGAATCTTCAATCGATCATTTGGTTTATTTTCTGTAAATTTAAAACATTTTTCCAAAATTTCATCATTTGTTTCAATAGAATCTGATTTATCACTACTTATCCAAAGCTCTAAAACATCACTGTACCTTTGATCAGATACATATAGATTCATCAAAACGTCATTAAACCCTGCTTGTTGAAATCTTTGTAATAATTCATCTCTATTAGCAGGTTGATATACTGAAAGTAAGCTTTGAAGACTTAGTTCACAATCTGATTTGAATTCCTCGTCATTATACTGTGATAGATCATTTATAAGTTCTTCTAATACATCTTCTGATAATCTAATGAATTGTTTGAATTTTGGGTAATTTCTTGAAAGGAAAATTGAAAAATTTATTTTTGCCTCTTTAGAAAATTCTGTTTCTGAAAATAATTCAATAATTATATCAATAATAAATTGTCTATTAACTTTTAATTTCCATTCTGAACTTGATAATTCATCTTCATTTAGTAATGTATCTTCAAAACATTCATTCAACATTGCAAAAAATAAACTTGAATCATAATTTAATAAAAGATAAAGATATGGGAAATTTAATTGGTCATTTGAATCAACAAGTATATTCTCTCCATTTTTTTGAGGCCATGTGATGAAAGATCCATTAAATAGAACATAGTATAAAGTCAATTTGGCATCTAATTCATCATCACCACCAATGAAATTTTCAGTTGGATATTGTCTTCCTGTTAGAATATAAGTTAAATAACCAAATACTTTAACCGAATCTCTATGACCATTTTGGATATCTCTAACAAATTCCACAAATGGGGTAACATAATCACCTAAAAGTTTATTCCAGATATAAATATAACTATCTCTTAATCCATTTGATTTGAGTAAATTTATGGTATAATCAATATCTAAGCTCTTTATATCTAAGAGACAAATCAATTGTTCTAATTTCTCCTTATCTTCCTTGGTACTATAATAAGAAACCATATCTTTTAAGACTAAAGGTGAAAGAGTTTTAACTAACCCACTTAATATAAATGGTTCTAAAGAATTGAAGAACAAATCAGATTGATAATTAAATTTGAAAATTTCATATAATTCTTCATAATTTTCAATATCAGCATTAATTGAAGCAAATGCCTTCATACAAGAATATAAAAAATCATTAATTTGATCTTCATATTGATCTTCATTCATACCAGATGTTAAGATTTTAGTTGCACTTGCTTTAACAAGATCAATTAAATACTTTAGTACAAGTTGCTGTCTATCTTTATCTGATGCTGGTAATCCAACAGCTTCTAAATCTTCATTTCCAATATAAAAGCGCCTAGCTTTATCAATAGATTTAATGTATCTCCCCTTATTAACTTGGTCATATAATAAATCTAGCCAATTTGGTATAGAACCGACAAATAATTCATATTTCCCAACAAGGAAAATTTTCCCTTTGAAAGTTTTAAAAGATGATTGATAACTTCCAAGATAATTTGATTGAGGAGATGAAATTTTAGTTAATGATTTATTTTTATAAATATGTTTTGAAATTAAATCAATTTTTGAAGAAAGTTTCAAACTTTTTTCATTTAATAAAATAATTTGTTGAGATTTTGTAATGATACCAATCATTGATTCACTAAGCCATTGAACACCTAATATTGCTTCATCACATACCCATCTTTTTTTAATTTCACAACTGATTACTTCATTATATTCTCTTGCTTCAATCACAGTGAGTACATTTGACCAGCAATATACTAATTTGGCAGGAGATTTGATTCCATTTTTCCCTTTAAATGATGGGAACCATGAAAGACATCCAGTTTTCCCTAGAGATTCATTTAAAACTTTTGGTTTCCCAGTTTTGAATTGTGTTTTAATTGAATTTGATGTGGATAATATAAGTAATGCATTATCAGATAATATTGCAATGATTCCTTGTGTATCTAAAAAATCAACAGATGGGCCTAATGGCAATGCAGCACATCCAAATATTGTAACACGATTTTGTATCATTAACCCAGGATAATTACCCAAAATCTTTCTGGTTGATACTGTTGTTCCTATAATTCTTTTATTACATTGATGATAAAAAACAAGACCATCTATATCTGTTGATATTAAAACTGAGCGTCTTTTACCCACAAAAGTTATATTGTTAATTGATGAGTTCAAAACATGACCATCGCTATTAAGATTGGTTTCATTCAAATGTTGAATATGTGTGATAGGTTTATCAGATGAATTAATATTCCATAAAAAGATATCACCAGATTCAAATCCGGTAGCGACATGAGTAGAATCCATTGATATAGAAATTGATGTTATTTCACCACATGTTAAAGCCTTGGTATCTTTACCCAATGAATGTAAAAGATTTTGATTATAATCAAATATCAATGTATAACCTTTTGAAGTACCAATGGCAACAATATCACCTGGTGCAATACATGTTGGATCACCATATTTTTGCTTTGATTGACTAGATTGTAAAATATCATTCAATTTTTTCAGATTAGCCCACTTTATTGATGATATCCCATTGTGATCATTATCATTATCATCATCATCTTGGTCTTCATCTTGATCTGAATCCTGTATATCCAACTGTGGTGTTGTATGTTTAATAATATCACTAAACCTACTCCTTATTCTTTCGTCAAATCTTCTTTTTGTTGATATGGATGAGTTTATAGATGTTCTAGATGAGAAATTGGGGCTTTGGAAAGAAATGTTTCTTGATGGTTTCAATGGGGTAGTTTTAAATGTAGAATCGCTTTGGAATGAGGCGGTATCAGACAGGTTTTGGACCTGATTCTCCCGTATTGAAGGTGGTGTTTCCGGTTGAGCTGAAGGCATCTGATCTTGAGCCTATTTCCCTGTTTCCTTGTAATTCGTTGTGGTTTGAATTGATTTCGTTGATGATTTTTGAATCTGAATTTACCGCTGTGTATATCTTCCTTATTGTTATTTAATTTTGGTTCAAATCACCAGAAAAAGTGGCCATATCGGAAATACCGAGATTTGATTTTTTTATTTTTTTTTATTTGACACTTTTGGAACGTTTGGATATATGGGTAAACGCTTCAAAGACAATTAACAATACAGATCAACAAAGAACCATATGAGTGATAAAGCACTAAATATAACAATACCAAAATTCCCAGGGTTCAAAGTTTCCCTCCACAAATTCACAAATGTTCAAAATGCTGCAGAAATCAAATCTAATCTTTTGAGTGGTAATCAAGATTATAACTTTGCCTTCATCAATTCACAAACAATTATTTCATCTGAACAACTAATAGCTTCTGTCTATAGATCACTATTGGATTATACAGAGGATAAAATAAGAACAAGAACATTACATTCAGAAGTCATTTTCAGCTTATCTCCAACCCAAAATGTGAGTTAACCTTTTTTTTGATAATAAATTAGAATAGAAAACTAACAAGAAACAAAGATTATGGATTCTTTGAAAAGATTTGGTATACAGGATGATACATCAGAATTAATAGTGATTAATATATCAGAAAATAACAGAAAAGATGATTATAATCTAAATTTCATCAAAGGAGAAGCTGTAAATATTAATGACTCAGAATTTCAAAGAACTGTTGATTATAATGTCATTAAGAAAGTAAGTTAACTAAAAGTTGTCTTTTTATTCATTTTTCCTTAAGAACCTCCTACTAACTACTTTTGCTTATAGAATTATAAATTTGACTCACAAGATCCTGAACTTATAACTCGTTTTGTTGTTAATGCTATTCAATTGAGAGGTCATTGAGCCAATGTTTATTATTTTTTCAGAAAGAGAGAAAAATTTCAATGTATTAAAATTGACAAAGTCTATAGATCTAGAAGTTTTTCGTTTGATCCATTTAATGGAGAATTGCACGGATACGAATATCTTCTTCACAAAAGTATAGGTTTTTGATATATGATTTATATAACACCAATAGAATGAATGCATAGTTAATGTACAAAGTAATATAGTAGTCCATGTAGAATCTGTACATTCAATTGAGTATACATCTCATCGCTGTAAACTTGAAAAATTGATGGTAATATCCAGATCTTATACTGCTGATAAACACCTTTAAAATTCGGTAGTTTCAACATAATTATCTAGTTAATATATTTCTAATATCTAGAGACGTATTTTAATGGCTTTAAATTAAATTGAACGTTAGAACTAATGTAGCACATATATACGTATTCATTAAATAATTGAGCCATATATTTTGCTTATGAATTGAGCAGATCGGAGGTATTCTAAAATCTGAAATTATCAGCAAATTATTAATATCCGGATATTATCGCCGGACGGCCTGCTTATATTAGTGCAGCAGCTTATAATATAATATTATAATGTTATGAATATTATATTAATTCTAATCTATATACAAGCGAGCTGCTGTTATATATTATAATATATATATATTTAAATTTAAATTAATATTAATTAATTTATAATTATATTATTAATTATGTATACCTCAAAAATTTTATTTTTAGTTTGAGAATACACATATAGAAAAACTTCAATATTTTAAAACTTGAATTTTGACTAATTTGATAGCTGAATATGAATTAACGTCACTAAATATACACATTCGCAAATTTTAAACTCCAAAAATATGTATATTTCAAGGGTTGATTATCATTTATAAATATTAAATATCATGATTATCAACTGATTACGTAAGTAGTACTTATAATCATTAATTATACTCTCATTGAGTACTACTAAATTAGTTTTAAGTTAAAACAAATGGTATTGAAATTTCTAATAAATCGCCTTATAGTACAAAGTCGCATAAGATAATATATTGCTTGATGATAAGAGTACAATGATCATAAAAGAATATAGAGATTCTTTATATCATATATACAAAATTTATCTTTTTGTGTAATCATGAAATTATTAGCCGCTGAGTATCTCTGAATTTTATTTGTGAAAATTATTTAAACTCAAACGTATCCCCAAAAATTTATTTTAATTAAATTAATTTGATTGATGTATATTAAGCAAGACGTAACCAATTCATCACATATGGTTGACATAAAATCAAATCAGATCCACTTTATATAATTGTTATAGAAGAATTTTTTCTTTTTTTTTTTACCATCATATAGTTCAATTGGTTTGAAGTTTGACGTATACATTATTCAAAGCTAGTTTAAGTTTATAAATGTTGAACGTTTATTAATACAGGATTGCTTTATATAAATCTATATAATCGATATATCATGATTGATATTAGTCGATTTGATCTATATAGAAGTTTAAACCAAATTTCGATTTTCAAATAAGTCTTTTTAGAACTTGTAGTTTTTTAAACGCTTTAACTTCATATCTAATATCTAATATCAATACAAAAATTGTATTAGCTAGAAATAATCATTTCATAACATTAATTAACTACTTGATTGATTAGAAAATCCATCAAGGCATCAAAGCGTTTTTTGCTATTTTAAACAATTCACATTTTCATATGAAGAGAGATTGTTGATTGTGTGTGTGTAAATTTAATTAATAAAAAAATTCAGCTAATATATTAACAATCCTGATTTAAGCCCAAAGATATCACAATTATGATTACCTTCAACGATTTCCTTTTCGATGAATTCACCTGTTTCACCATGTACGTGTTGTAACAAGCTTGTAATTGATGTGTTGTTCTTCATCTTCAACTGGAAGTCATTGTATTTGGTATTCAAACTCTGGCAATATGAAACCATTGAAATTGAATCATTCAATACATGTGTTCTTCCTTATACCATTTGATATGACCCCCGCAGTTGATAATATGCCACAGCAGTGTTATATCGCAATTCGCTGTATATTTAAACTCAAAAGTATCCCTAAAATTTAAAATGTTTCAAGTATACAAAGTTGTTTAGTTAATTAATCTTCTAGGGAATGACTATTTAATTAATTTTTGCTTGTGTTCTAAAATTTTTTTGCTTGTGTTTTAGCCAGTGGGCTATTCACATGTGTTTTTTGTACAATGTTGGATTTCGATGTTTTTAATGTGCATTTTTACTCATATCTTTGGGTTACAATCGTACATGATTAGTTAATATACATAGCACCATATAGAAAGATTAATCGATTCAATTATTTGCTGATACGATTTGATATATATTGAAGCTGTTATTTGTCATTTTAACAACATATAATTTGTAGATCTATTAAACATTAATAATAGTCATACTACTTAAGCTATATATATCCTTTCACTTTTGAGGTGAAAGGTTGTAATAGAGACAATTCATTAGATATGGTGCGCCTAATTTATTCATTCCCATTATGGTTATTCTATTCATTTTGCTGTTGTTATTGGTTATGTTAATGTTAAGAAAGGTGGATCATTTACTTAGCAAGACAAAGATTCATGTGTTAATATATGAGTAACAGATGTTGTTAATCCCAGTGAAAATGAATTTATATTCATGCTATTAATATCTTATTAATTACACCACCTCCTTCAATGAACATAGATCCAAAATTTGTTAAAGGAGAATGAGATCAAAGACTTTTTTAGAAAATGGATTTTGACTTTTTGTGATGGGTTAGCAAATATTCTTTGATTTAGTAAATTATTTTGAAGCGGTTATGCCATCTTACCACATACTGAATGATTTGACCAATTCTGGGTTTCAGCTAAGCTTCATTTTCGTTTTAGATGCCTTTCTCTTCTATTCTTGTGATTATGAATATCGATCCCTATGTCTGTATCTTAATATTAGTTATAATTACATGAAAATATATGTTGTACTCCGTTAACTCTTCTAGTCCGATAACTCGTAGTAGTTCCCGGGACGGGGTACGAGGTCCATACCGCCAACAACCTTTAGCTAGCGGTATGGTAAGTGCAGTATACCGCTAACTATATGAAGTTAGCGGTGCACCACCAACTTCTTTAATGGAGAACATACATCAATTCAAGTATATAAGCTACTTAAAGCTTGGGTACTAGTAAATAGCCCTTTGAAAATTATCATTATGCCTTTATATATTGTTTTGAGAGCCAATCACTGCTGTTTAAAGGAGATGTTCGACTT